AGTTGGTTTGAAAGTATCCCACATTGGCGCCATCAATGACGACATCAAAGGTAGTCGAAGCGCTTTTTGGTCGTTGTTGCTTTTCTCGTTCTAGATAGTTTTGAAAGTCTTGCCACATGCGCTTGCGGTCTTCCTGATCCCGATCACCCAGTGTCCGCTTGCGCCCCTTTTTGCCTCCTTGGAATTGCGACGTGTCCTGGTCGAGTTTTCCACTGACCACAATTTTCTCGTTCATTTCCACCATTGTCTGCCAAGCCACGGTGGAGAGTTTAACCTGTTGCAGCTGTTCTCCCTTTAAACATCCATCTTCCAGAGTGCCCGTTTGTGTATTGATGCCACATCCGTGGCTCACTTGCCATTTTTGGGTAGCGTCCCCAGCACTGACAGTCGTAACGGGACCAATGGGCTCTGTCTGGTAGGTCTGCAAGGACGGCGGCAGCACAATCTTGTCGAGAATGGCTTGGGATGTTGTCGTCTTGTCGTCGTCAGTAGTGGAAGAAGAAGAAGAAAAGGGCGATTCAAACCAATTCACAATGGCCCGACACGTCTCCCGTGATGGCACCAACACATCTTCGGACAGATCCGTCAAGACCTTTTGCATGACAATGGCATCGCCGACGGTGGCACAACAGTCAAAGAGTGCGGCGTATTCTCTTTCCGTCAAGACCAACTCTCGCTGGGAGAGGCGTGCCCAGATTTCCAAGGCTTGGAGTAAATCTCCCGATTGACAATAGGAAATCAATAGAGAAGAGTCAGCGTATCTTGACCCTGACACTGTTGGTTCCTTCGGCTTTCCGATAAGCATTGGCCTTTTCAAACTGTTTGGCTTTGGACAATAGTTTGACCAAGGCAGAGTAGGCTGTTTCATTCAGAGGGATTTTTTGTTCATCCATTTGTTCCTTGATTTCAAAGGCCGCCTTTTGACGAGTCTCCAAATCAACATGTTTTGTGGTTGCTGTTGTTTCCGTGCTGTTGGTCGTCGTTGTGGCTGGTTCTTCGGTAGTATCCTCCACCTTGCTGTTGTCTGCCTCCATGCCATTCGCTTCCACCGTGTTTGTTGTCGTGGGAGTTCCATATTGCTTGGGAGTTCCAATATGGATCCGATTGCGTTCCAAGCCATCGCAGAGATTAAGCAAACTGTAAAAGCTCTGTGCTTCAATCTTAATGTTCTTGGTCAAGGCGTCACGGTACACTTCCAAGGCGGTGGCCAAATCATTGGATTTACAACACATTTGAATCTTTTTGCGAGCTGCCATTACTTCGGGATCTTTCTTTCTCTTGCTCTTCTTGGAGGGTTCGTTCTGGGGTGTTGTTTTTGGGTCGTTGGGTGCGTCTGCTTGTCCATTGGGTGGGTCGTCTCCCACTCGAGGCTTCTTCTTGGGGGAGTCTGATTCCATTTTAAGTTTATTAAGAATGATGGGGCGCCGATGACTGGGAAGTTTCTCAGAGCAACAGGACCTTGATTTGTGTGGTGAGTTGAAAGCGTGAGGAGACCTGAAAAATGAGTTGTCTTTGGTGGTGGGGGGCGAAACGTGGGAGGCTCGGGATTGGTTTGGGTTTCCCGTTTCGTTTTGTAACTCTATCGTTACACTTTATCTCTGATTCCAGACTAGCTACGCTGATGCCTACATGTACACAACGTGATTTTTTTGTGTAGGTTGACAGCACTCATAGAAAACTACCACAGCCGACAAGAGTAGGAGCCAGCAACAACTTGCATGAATCTTCCAAGGCCCCCTTCCAACCGCGACATGACATCGCATCCCAACCAGTCTTCATCCAAACACGTTCCCTCCATCGGAATGCACTCTCGTCAGATGGATCAAGAGGAGATTTGGATTCGCGGTATCTTTTCCTTCCTTGGGATGGGACACTATGCCTTTGTGGCCCCTGTCTGTAAGCAAATGAAGGACCTCGGATTTTCTATAGTTGGGGTGAGTCAGTATGGACTTCGAGCCAAAATCACGAGAGGGTATGCAGGCGACAGAAGCCCATACCGGCTACAAACAACTTCTTATGTACCATAACACATATAGAAAGCAAATGCACATGCAACGACTAGCTAGGATAGAAATTTGTGGACGTCAAGAGCCCAACTGGGACTGTTTCATTTAAATCTACGACTTCTCTTCGCAACCAACGACTTCGACTCCTAGAACATCCATTCACACTTCCAATTCAAACATCACGAACTCCGTCAAAGTGTTCCAATGCCACCATGTTGGCTAGACTGCTGTCATCCAAACCATCGGCACTTCCGAGGCGCCTAAGCATGTACCTTCCAAGGGCTTCGATGGTACCATTCATCTGTCCCAGCTTCTCAACCACAAACTCCTCGAACCTCCTGTCCCTGGCCTTCTGTTGGTCATACTCCAATCGAAACTGAACTGTCTTGGCGACAGCATTCTTTGCATTCTCATTGATCACGTTCAACTGAGGCACAACGTCACTCCTCAATCGCTCCAAGGCTTCTTTCTGAGCTTTAGTGATGGGGTCACGAATAGACTTAACGAACTTCTTTCTAGCGTACTCATCTAGGTTGTTGCCGATGTGGTCATCAACAATGCTCTTAACCCTCTGGTTGAAGTCCTCTTCACTTCCCAATGAGTCGTCGTCGTCATCTGGCTTGTCAGTGACATCACTGTTGTTCTTACCAAGATGGATGCTTTCCAGTACGGAAGCCATAACAGAACCAGAACCAGTTTTTGCCGCCTTACTAGCTCTTCCAAACACACTTGCAGTACCGGCAACAATAGTAAGACGCCTTTTTACAGCGCACCGATTTTTCGAAGCACTGGTGTTGAAGAGCCCATCGAAATCGAATTCCTCTGTGCCGTCTTGGACCACCTGTTGATGTGGCATTGTCGCGGAATTCTGCATGGGTTGTTGCTTCTTCTTGATGTACGACTTGCCTGTGTATGGATTCGTAAAGAGGTAGTGGTCTTGATCGTGCTCGACTTCTATTTCTGGTCTTAGAGAACTCGATTTTGTGACCTGAGGAATGAAGTGTACGTAAAGCACGAGTTTTCGAATCCAGGGCATTTCTGGGTGTCTTTTTGAATATTCGAATTATTGTAACAGACACAACGACTACAACGAAAGACTGCATGGCAGTCTTGCATCTAATCGGGGATAGTCGTACTTATGGCTAGCCAGTACAGAGGAAGTCGAGCTGCTAGATTCAAACACCAAAGACTTCCCCACTGTAGCATCGTACCCCACAACAGCGCAGAAGTCAAATGGGTCTCACAATTTCAAAAATGGCGGCTGTCAACCTGAATGAAGACCACCGAGGAATTCCACCTTTCAGAGCACTCGAGGACGTTTTTGCAGACAATGAAAACACTATCGAGTACTTAGTTAATGAGGGTTGCCTCAACATACCGGACCACTGCGTTCAGTGCAATATGCCTGTAGAGTACCGACCCAACAGGAAGAACCTAATCTTTTGCAATCGGCGACAGTGCACGCTGGACCACGGTAAGCATTGGACGCAATCCATCATGGCCGGCACCTTCTTTAACACCTGTAGGATCCCCACCAGGGAAGTTTTTTACTTCCTCTATCTGTTCATCTGTGGCACGTCTTACACCTCTATTAGAAGCATGTTTGGGTGGTCTCCAAACACAGTGACCGACGACTGGTTCAAGTTTGCGCAGCAGCTGATTGGGGAGATGGTCCTCGAAACGATGGAGAACTATCAGATAGGTGGCATTGGTGTTGAGGTTGAGATTGATGAGTCAAAGTTTGGTAAGAGGAAGTACCACCGAGGCCACCAAGTTGATGGGGTGTGGGTGTTCGGTGGAGTATAAAGAACACCAGAAAGGAAATGCTTTCTTGTTTTTGCAACTGTGACTAACGCCCTACTGTTTTTCCACAGTGAATCACTCGGAGAACTACAAAGATCCGGTGACTGGTGCATGCACCAACACCATCGAGGGCACTTGGAATGGTGTCAAGAAGCGTGTCCCTGCTAGGAAGAGGACTGAGGAGGGCGTTAAGCCCTGTTTGTTTGAGTTCATGTGGCGACGCATGAACCAAGGGCGCCTCTGGAGGGCTCTCTTAGAGGCCCTTGCCCAGGTTCGTTATGTCTAGAGTAGTAAAATCGTAGTCCTTAGTAAAATCGTAGTAGAAGTCAGTCACACTTGTTTTTACTTATTAACTTCGACTTCTCCTGCCTACTAGCATAGACTTTCGTGGTTTTTGGTGTTCTGTAATTTCTCCCCCTCACTTTTTTGCGATTTGGTAATTAGCACTAAGTATGCTTATTCTATATACAGGTCTCTGTGTTTGGAAGTCCCATCCTTCCGTTTGCCTGGCCGGATCGACTCATCCCCAACTATAGAAAATCCAGGAACTCTACGCTGCTTACTGCAATTCCGTGGAAAATCCACCAAGAGTGCAAATTGACAACAGATTCCGTCAAGCAGAAAGCACAGACACATTCTACTCAGCCGTGTTTTGTACTGTGCCACGCGCTGAACGCTGGCGTATCCATTCGGGCAACAACGAAGTGACACAACGCAGTGTTTGCATATCAGCTGCCAGAGCTGGAAGTATTCCAGTTATTCAGTGGGCCCGGGGAAAGGAGTTTCCTTGGAGTGAAAAGACATGCCAAGCCGCCTCAGAACATGGCGATCTGGATGTCCTCAAGTATCTACATGAAAATGGATGTCCTTGGGACGAAAACACATGCTGAAGTGCTGCCTACAATGGCCATTTGGAAATACTCCGATAGCTACATGAAAACGGGTGCCCATGGGATGCAGACACGTGCTCCGATGCTGCTCGACAAGGCCATTTTGAAATCTTGAAGTATGCTCGTGACAATGGTTGCCCATGGTATGAAGACACATGCCATTATGCTGCAGAAAATGGTCATTTTGAAATCCCAAAGTATGCTCATGAAAACGGGTACCCATGGGATGAAAACACATGCAGCGGTGCTGCTGGAAGTGGCCATTTGGAAATACTCCAATATCTACATGAAAATGGATGTCCTTGGAATGAAACCACATGCAGCCGTGCTGCTTCAAGGGGGCCTTTGGAAATCCTCCAATATCTACATGAAAATGGATGTCTTTGGGACGACACAACATGCACATTCGCTGCATTTTGTGGGCATTTGGAAGCCCTTAAATATGCACATCAGAACGGCTGTGGATTGGATGAGGATACATGCCGCTATGCTGTTTACAAGGGTGATTTGGAAATGGTAAAGTATGCTCACGATAATGGATGCCCGTGGTACGAAGGCACATGCTATGTTGCTGCAGAATTCGGGCATTTGAACATCCTCAAATATGCCCTTGAACATGGCTGTCCATGGGACCAAGGTAGGACTGCAAGAGTAGCAAATCCGGAAGTCCTGAGATATCTACGTGAGAATGGCTGGCTGTCCATGGAACGAGGTGGCCCCTGGAAGAGGATATGTCGAAGAAGGGCCCTAGAATATGCAGCCTCTCCTGTGGAAATCTAGATGTGGGTTTGGGTTGATATCTTCCAGGAATTGTTCTCTATAGTTTGCTCTCTTTTATTACTATTGACTAATGAATCCGAAGCTTCCACATTTTACCTGCTATATTTTTATGGATCGGCTGCATGATACCAATTTAGTCAGATTGCATTCTCGCGGATTCGTGTGCTCTCGCTGCTGGGGCTGACAAAGTTTTCCTTGAGGGCATCTTCATCCATGTGAGGAGGCCGAGATCAAGCCTTCCCACATGCCCAATCGCTTGGACGTGCTCTCTGCACGAGAATGGGTGTCCTTGGAACCTAGGAACGTGCCAAGCTCTCCAAGTGCAGGAATGTTGGCCTTGCTTGGCAAGAGTGGATTGATGGTACTGGTGGAAACAAGCCAGCCAAGAACTTCACTGCAGAAGAGATTAGGGCTTGCAAGTCAACCTACTCCAGGAGGGAGCCACTCTGGACTCTCATGGCTACACTTGTCAATGCTCAGAGAGCTCCAGCTTTGGTCATCACCAAGATCATTGAAAAGCAGAATTACAAAGGAAGTATTTTGAATATTGCTGCTGCCATCAAGCAGGACACCATTTTAGTCAGTCTGCATGAGGATCTTAAAGTAACTAGGTAGATAACCATGCCTAATAGTTAGTTTGTGTACATGAGTGCGACGGGATACAGCTTACAATTCAGCTTTACAGCTTTACAATTAGCAGGCTTATTCTAGAAAATAATCAATAACTGCTCACTTATTTGGAAATACAAACTTTACATCTCTTAGATCCTTAGACTAGTCAATGCACAATGGTATTGTCGCATGGTAGCATGCGAGGTTATGAGATGTTACTCATTCTTATTCTTATATGTCTATCTGTTATCAATGGTACTCGACTGGATTCGCTCGTAAGCAATCCTCTCATCATTGCCACTCGACTGGATTCGCTCGTAAGCAATCCCCATGTCGATCCCTTTCTTTATCCTGTTGACGATCATAATCTCAATGAGGACACTCCACCTCCTGCTGTTGACGATCGTAATCTCAACAAGGACGTTCATCCTGTCGTCGATTGAAATCGCGATGAGGATCCTATATTATACCATGGACTCCTATGGGAGTCCACCTTTTATCCTGTTGGCGATCATAATCTCAATGAGGATCCTATTATCTCGACCGCTGCAGGAGCCTCTACTACTACTGTTACTACTGTTACTACTGCTACTGCTACTGCTACTGCTACTATGGTTATCTCTACCACTGACATGCCTCATATCATCGATCGTCTCATGGATCGCGATAACAGAGGTCGCGATCGAGTTAACAAAATTCATCGAAAAATGGATATCAACTGCATATCGAAGGCTCGGCTTGTGTGTCATGCTTCGAATCATGATTTATTTATTTCGAATCACCTGAGCTTAAGTCTTTTATTGAGTCATGCTTCAGTTCCTCACTTTTTCATTAACCCGAGCGATGGATCGTCGTTCCGTGTTGTTGTTCGAAACAACATCAGTGTACCTCTCCGTCGAGTTAACAACAAACCGCCGATCGATAACAACAAGCTACCTAGGACTGGCATTGGTCGTTTTGCCTGGCTTGCAGATAGCTGGCTTGCAGTTGGTCGTTCGAACCATTCAAACGAAGATTCGCTCGCTGACTCGCTCCGTTTGAAAGATTCGCTCTTGAAGGATTCATCGATCCCGAAGAAAGCTCATAAACTCCAGCTCCAGCTTCGATTGACTCGATCGACTAGCTATCCACCGCGCTCCTCCTCTTGTTGTCGGTCTTGTTGCCACTGCTGTTCACCGCGCTCCTCCTCTTGTTGCCGATCTTGTTGCCATTGCCATTGCTCCTCTCGTCGTGTTGATTCTCACTTGATGGACCTTGACGACGCTTCCTCTGCCTCAGCATCTTCATCTTCAACAGCAGCGCCAGCATCAGCATCCTTGTTCAGTCCACAAAGGCTTCAGACAAGCCTTCTTTGAATCTGATCCAATCATCCCACCATCTGATCCTCCAACCATGACTGCAGCACCATTGACCGCAGTTCAAATCCAGGAGCTCCTCCAGCACATTGGGAAGACCAAAGAGAAGACCAAGCTTACAGAAGCCCCTCGCTTGGAGTATCAACCACACTGGAGCCTGGACAGGATCTGTCAGATGGACTGGGAAAGGAACCTCAAAGCACCCTATGCCTCTGCTGATTCCGGCCGTCTGACGGTCAACCGTCAACAGAATCTAGCCTCCACCCATCTACAGATCTACAGATATACAGAGACAACAAAGTAGCTTTTCCTCATAATCTTATAACATCATTCGTAATACATCTATCGCTACCTTTAGTCTCTTCAACAGATGTTATAAGATCCTTCTATACAAAACGATACCACAACAACCGATACCACCACCGATCCGCTACACTGATCGAACGAACGAAACCTCGAACGCACCTCTATCGATCGAACGGCACGAACGCACCTCTATCGAACGAACGGCACGACGCACCTCTATCGCTCGACGAACGACGCACCTCTATCGCTCGACGAACGCCGCACCTCTATCCTCGAACGAACGCACCTCTATCGACGAACGAACCTCTATCTTCGAAACAACCTCTATCCTCGAACGAACCTCTATCCTCGAACGAACCTCTATCCTCGAACCGGAACGACACTGATACCGAACTGATACCGCTAACAGCTGATACCGCTACTAGCCAACAAACACCAACACAAACCTACAATACCACTACCCAACACATACACACCTAGACACACAGGCCTTAAACGTCCGACAAAGGGAAATAAATATACCCGTGTCGCCCAACTTCAAATCCAATCTACCCTCTCCTACAATGACCACTACACCAACTGAGGAAATGCCACACCCCATCCTCACACCAATCATTGGCAAACCTGACCAGAGGAAGCTATCCCTCCTCATCTCTCAGGTTCTTGCAAACACCAGAGCTATCCCAGTGAGGACGGTGATGGCAGGTTAGGCCACGCCTACATCATTCCTGGGCCAAGCAGCCATACACTGCAGCATCCACAAGGCAACGTTCATTCGTCGTCCGATCAAACCAGACAAACCCGTAAATGCTGCCAACGCCACCCAAGCACTCAATGTACCGCCAAGACCAAAACCTACAAAAATGAACTGTGATGCATGGAAATTATACACAAAACAAGAGGCCCAATCCTCCAGCAAATTTTGACGCCGTTAACGATACTTAACAAAGGTCCCTCAAAGATCGTATGTGGGGATACGGCAACACAAGCCCATTTGAATCATTAACCATCTAGTGACACATACGGTAAAATCACAAAGACTGATCTCCTTGCCGATCGTGTAACTCCTCACCCAGCCCTTGGACTCCACCCACAGACTCGAGGAACTCTTTGATAATACGACACCTGCATTGCTTTCTCAGTTAGAAGGCGGAGATGTCATGAGTGACCGCAACGCTGTCCAAGCGCCGGAGTAGCCACTCTACACGCCACGGGCTTATTCATTCATCCCATCCGAGAATGGAACAAGCGTACACCAGAAAACCGCACCCTCACCCATTCAAAGAATTCTTTCGTGATGCCGAAAATGTTCGCCCAGACCGAAACCACTGTAGCGCCGCAAGCTACCACAACGAGCTAACGCAACTATCACGGACCCCCAAACAGTTACCACCGGGACTTCTACGCTCACCCATCCACAATGATCGACATAGCCACGATCACCAGATCGTCACAAGAGTCACTTCGAGAGTCCTAAGCCAGCAAATGCAACCCACCACCACCAACACCAGATCGCGGGAAATCCCAAGGCGGACCCTTTTGGGAGCGCACACTTCCGCTCAAATCACCCTGCGGGCAAGCCAAACAGACGGCCAAATTCGATCTGTCCAACTGTCTACACGGCAGGCCGAACTCTGATGCCACATGAAATCTGGGTGCTTGGACGGCACACTGGGGGTTACCTACAAGCTAAGGAAAGTCCTATACGGTAAACTACCACAGGGGGCTCCCCACAAACAAGTGATTAACTGGGCAAGCTAAGCAGGGCCAAAGGAGGGGCACACAAGCTATCCAGCGCACATACCCTGCACAAAACAACACATCTGGGAGGTGCACGAGCGGAGGAGGCAGGAACGGATTTAGCGGTAGGGGGCTCTCTGCTCGGTCGGTCGAAAAAACTGCACACGGTCGGAGGCGCCTACACAATAAACAGTTCAAGTCGCTAAATAAATCCACACTGGGTACGAGCACAACGGTTACAACCAAAATTACAACACCTCCATAAAACGTCCAGCAACCACTCGTTATAAGGCCTCCATCCCAACTCGACCTAGATGATAAAAACCACCAACTTATGGGAGTCGCCCGTGAGGAGAGTGGCAGAGTGCCCACGTCCTGCATCTTTCTCAGATGTGGAAATGTCAATGTTGTCGAATGGAAATCAAACTGGGCGACCCCACTCTTGAAACGCATTCTCTGTGAATCAACAGTCTGTAGTAGCACAAACGGGAGCCACCTTGGCAGTGAAACATCCAGCGCCATTTGAAAGCGAGACATCACCCATACTGAACATGCGCTACCAAAATATAGCAGCATGTAGAGCTCAAGTGCCGCTATTAAAAAGATTTGAGAACTCTATGAACAGGGCTCGAGGAGTCTGCTTCAAGTACGCGCGACGTAGGACAAAGCTCTGCGATTAGTGCGAGTGCTACAGCGCGAGCGTTTAACATATATCCACCGGCACGGA